CTGCCTGCCTGCCTGATCCCCTAACTGCTCTCCCCTGCTGGCCTGATCCCCCTAACTGCCTAACTGCTCACCCCTGCCTGCCTGATCACCCTAACTGCTCTCCCCTTCCCGCCTGATCTCCCTAACTGCTCTCCCCTGCTGGCCTGATCTCCCCTAACTGCTCTCCCCTGCTGGCCTGATCACCCTAACTGCCTAAACTGCTCTCCCCTTCCCGCCTAATCTCCCCTAACTGCTCTCCCCTGCTGGCCCTGATCCCCCCTAATTGCTCTCCCTTGCCGGCCTGATCTCCCTAACTGCTCTCCCCTCCTGGCCTGATCCCTCTAACTGCTGTCCTCTCCTGGCCTGATCCCCCTAACTGCTTAACTGCCGCCTTCTGCCTTCTCCCTTCTGCCTTCTCCCATGGCGCCTTCTCCCCCCTGCCTCTGCAAAAGAGACCCGCAACGCTGGACCTGCCGGCCCTCGCCTTGCAGCTGCTGTGGCTTTGTCTGGAAGGATGTCTGGAAGGATGTCTGGAAGACATCTGGTCTAATTATTATATTACCCTTTTATTAGTATAGATTCCTCTGACTTTATTTTTTTGCATTTTGTTGATTCTGTTATTTAATACAGTAAGTTCTTACTTAATGTCATTGTCAATAGGTTCTTTGACTTAAACGATGTGAATGAAACCAATTTTATCATAGCTAATTGATATAAACAAGAGTTAAATTTCTAAGGTATCTCATTAACATCATAACAAAACATTAGATGAAAGAAACTACATTATTTGAGGACCTGCTGTAGTGTATTTTACTCAGTACACTATCAAGATACAGTCATATAGATTTTCAAGCTGTGTTGATGGATGCAAACAGAATGAAGAATGCAAACCCATCATATTTGTATGTCTTTTATAACTATTAACTTATGTATCTGTGTTTGAAATCAAGTCCTGTATATACATTGTGAGAGCTTCTGAGTTTTACAAAGACTTTTTACAGAGGAATTTAACTATTTTAAAGGCCATGATTATTTTTAGGCCATTTTTAGGCCACTGCTCTCCCCTGCTGGCCTGATCCCCCTAACTGCTCTCCCCTGCTGGCCATTAATATTAAAAGGCCATTTTAATATTTTTTGTTTCTGTTCAAGCTTCCCTAATTGCCGATAATAATACCTTAAGAAAAAGACGTTTTTATATATTATTTTTTCCAACTCATAGCAACCCTAACAGAGCTTTTAGTTTTCACTATTACAAACTTTACTGTATTCCTTATTCATAAACCTTGGCATATGTCTATATCAGGCACATTCTAAGAGGCAGAATTGCTGACTCAAAGGTATACACTCTTAAGGCTTTTGATACAAATTTCCCAGTTCCTATTATTTTATCCTATTAAGGTTTAATATTTTTACTATATTTATTCAATTATGAATTGCTTGCTTGTGATGTTTGTTCATTACTAAAACTATTAGGTCCATCTTTTTTTTTTTATAGTAATCAATCTTCTGGCAAATAAATTACAAAAAGAAGTTTGGCATTTCTCTTCTGCTTTGTTTTGTTTTTTTAGAGCCTTTGCCTTTTAATTTACAAATTCTTTTACATAGACATTTAAAATTTTTATTGTGAAAATTTTCAGTCTTTCTTTTATGAGTCTTTCCCCTTTTTTGCTTATATGCTTAAAAAGCTATTCCATATCCAGTGGTCATATAAATTGTCATTAACACTGAAATGAAATTGTTAAATGTAGAGTATTAAAAAACTTTTACTATCCCAACAACATTTCTTTATTGCTAATTATTTAAACTCAGCCTACTGTTATGAACTTATTGAAGAAATGACTCCCCCCCTTTTCTTTCAGACATGGGATTTCTGCTCAATTCTGCTTAATAATCTTATCTTTGGTTTGCATTGTTCAACAAGAGCCAGTGGGTATTTTAATTTTTAAGATGATGATATTTTTGCCTCAAAGTTTATATATGAAAATCAACTCAACTCAACATTTAAAAATACCCCATACAATTCTGATTTTATTTTGGTTTTTATTTTTATTTATTTATTTATTTATTTATGTATTTATTTATGGCTACTCCCTAACAGTAAAGCACTGGGATTTGTTTTGCAGAATCCTTGCAGCCTTTCCTGGAAGCCTGTAGCAACACTCTGTTTTTTCGTACTTGTTCTGTGCTGCTTCGAACCCCTAAGCTTGATCTTCAAATACTAGAAAAACTCAGTATTATTCTACAGAAACTTTCTAAAATCAAGTAAGAATTTTTTATTTCTAATACTTTTATTTAAAAATATCTTTTTGTGCTCATTTAGACCTTTCTGAATCCTATAGTAGTTCAACTTTGATTATTAAATCAAAATTTTTAGTAAATGTAGAAAATTGAGATTCATGCATGTTAATACTTGTTTAATACTTAGTGATACAGTAGAATTATAGTTTTAATCTTAGAATGTCTTGTTGTTTCTGCTAAGTGAACTTTAAATACCACAGAGTATGTAAAACTAAGAACAATTTTTAGCAATCAAGTGATAGTATTAGAACAAATTATTGCACACTGGTATTCTGTACCACCACAGTGAAAATAAAAATGATAATAAAGTATATTTGTCAGATTCTTATTATGTACTAAAGTTAGTTTAGGGAATCAGAAAGAAGCAGGCAGAAAAGATTTTAAATAATGTATATTTTAGGAAACTATATGAGCTTCCTGCCACTAATTTGGATTTTACTATAAGAATTAGGGGCTTTCTTTTTATATTTCCTCTTAAGCAAATATTGGTATAATCATTTTAAAAATTATAAGTGGATTTTGAAGCTATATTTTCTTAGAATCTTGGTATAGTCCAGTTTTTATGACAGTTAAATTATAGTTTTGGTTCAGCTCCTCTGTGCCCTGTCTTTCCCCTCAGCCATGATTTTCATGGTGGTGAACTTAGGTATTTACCAGGCTTCATTCAAGTATAAATGCATCTTAAAATTATTTGCAGATATGTGATAGTGGGTTCATATGCCCTATTAGGTACCTACCACATCATAGTAAATTATTAGTTATCAAATTACAATCTCATACTCAGCTCACCAAATTATTGGTTTTCATCTGGTGTCAGTTAAACTTACCAAATCATTGTCTTCCTTTTCTTGAAGACTGACTGTAATATGATTATCTTGATTTGTAATCAGTAAATTCTCAATAAGGCCTGTTATAGTTAACCTGTGGTGCCATGAAACTGCAATTACATTCCTTAGGTTTCATTCTTCCTTAGGTGTTAATTCATGGGATTTTTTTAAGTGGTCCCAAAATTGCAAATATAGCCTTGGGTTGGGAACAGTTGATGCTCAGTCTTAAAGTAAATCTTTAAAACCACAAAGATATAAATTCTTCTGTATCAAATGGATGGTTATATACAGTTATTTAATAATTTCTCCCAAGATACAATTATATGTAGACAAGAAATAAGAAATATGTAATCAGATATAATTCTAACTAATTGATCATGAAATTACTAACTGGTTATTAGAAAGAGGATGGTTGAAAAGTTATTTTGGTACAAAGGCAAAAGGTAAACCAATATTCTGTTACTTTAAAAAGCCCAGCTTACTTAAAATAAGTTGATCTAGTACTTGTATTTGACTTTTTCTAGCTGTTACAGAAAAAGCAATTCTCAACTGTTGTAATAGTGAATTGCTGCAGTTTTCAGGAGGATGAACCATTTTCTTTTTCCTTGAATACTTTGTTATTTTAGGCCTATCTTATGAAACCCACTTTATTTGTCTTGGCATGTTAATTCTTTTTTTAAAATACATTTTTATTGATTTCAAAAAGGAAGGGAGAGAAAGAGAGAGAGAGAAACATCAATGATGAGAGAGAATCATTGATCAGCTGCCTCCTGCATGCCCCCTACTAGGGATGGAGCCTGCAACCTGGGCATATGCCCTGACCAAGAATCAAACCGTGACTTCCTGGTTCTTCGGTCGATGCTAAACCACTAAGCCACACCAGCTGGGTGGCATGTTAATTTCTTAGTTACCTATTTTCTTCACTATTTTTAAAAACAGATGCCATTTTTCTACATTTACACATGTTATCGATGTAATTACAGATGAATTCCTTAAGTGTGTGTAATTAAATTAATGTACTCATTCTCTTACAGGAGTAATAAGAAGTTCTTTGAACTTTTTACAATTCATCTGATGCTTCAGGAAATACAAAGGACAACACATCCAGAACATGCCTTTCTCTGTATTAACCTAAATTCAACTCTGTTCAATTTGGGTTTAACGAAATGCAACTCCCTGGCCTCCAATTCAAGCCATTAGACTGGCTTATTATTATTTTATATACATTATATATGTGTTGCTTATTTGTAAGATTGCAAAAATCATCAAAGTAACTAAAAATCTACCAAGTAAAGTTTCAGTAGCATCATTTATCATGAAAAATAAAATAGAAAATTTTTTTATTTTAAAAATGAAATCTATAGGAGCTCTGGAATGATTGTAATATTACAGTTCAACTTAGGTAGTACTAATGTGTAAAATAGAATTTCCAGAATTAATGACACTGGGGTTAATTTTGTAAAACTGCTTTATAAAAATTCTTAAAATTATGTGATTATTTTGAATAAAACTGGTGTTTATCTGGGAACAGGGCTAGATCATGTTGTTATTCTGTTTTCTTAATATATTAGAAATCTCCCCCTTTGGAAACAAAAGTTCATAATTTTTAACTGTCACCTTCATATTATAACTTTTCTATATATCCTAGATTCACAGATACTGCTTTTTTATTGTGCTGTCCATGAAACACTTTAGAGAAAAAATTTTGATTTTTCTAGTTTATTTTCCAAAACAATTTAATTATTACCAAAGCATATTTGTACAAAATAAAAAAATTTTTACACTGAAAAATTAAAATGTCACAATCCCAACACCCAGAGATATCTATCTCCTGCTGTAGCCAAAGATGAGTGAAGTAGCCAGAAATAAAAAAAAATCCATTATGGATACTTCAGAAAAATTCCATTATGGATACTTTTGTTAACAGAACAAAAGACTAGCTTCTCAGAACACACAGTGCCTAGAGATGGGACCAGTAAGACAGTGGATGCCAGGTGGTAGAGCAGAGGTTGGCACTTCAACATGGGATATTTGATGTTTCTGAAGAAGAGAACAAGACAAGTAAAGCAGAGTATTATTCAAAGATGTAGTTGAATAAAGATTTGGGGGGGGGGGGGGCGCTAAAGAAAGATCTGCATGCACAGATTGGAAGAGCTCATCATGTTCCAGAAAAATCAGTGAGGAACGGAGTCTAAATTAGACACATCCTGTACTTTAGATACATTACAATTAGAATTTAATGGCAAGTATTAAATATTAAGGATAAAGCAGAAACAAACAAAAACCAGTTATCTGCAAGAGTAGAAAAACAAAGCTAGCCTCATCCAATGCCAGAAGTTGATAAGTAACCATCCCCTCAACTTTTGGAGAGGGAAAATTTAAACTAAGAATTTATACCTAGTGAAAATGTCTTTCATAGGTGAAGACAATGGAGAGAAATGTTCAGATATGCAGGTGCTCAGAAATTATACTGTTTACATGCTATTCTTGAAAAAACTAACTGCATAGATTATTCTAACTAATTTAGAGATGGAGAATTGAATTTATTAAATCAAACTCATTCTAAAGACTGCAGTGAACACCAAAACCACTTAAACATCAATACATTTAAATAATTGTTGTAAATCCATTTTTAAAATGGAATAGAATGTTAAATTATTCAAAAGAATACATAATGGGAAAAGAAGCAATTTATTAGTAAGAATTTTGGTAAGACTATGTTAACCAATGTTAAAAACAGGATTAAATGGGACCCTGAGATTGAGGTGAGATGGAGAAGCTAGTAAGTTTTCCACATTTTCATCAGAAATAGAATGTTCCATTTCAGTATTAACTTTTGACAATTAGAAAAATGAAGGATAAAAGAATGCTTTTGGGAAATGTCAAAGAAATTATAAATATTAAAAGCAAGATAAATATTCTCAAAACATTGAAGAAGAAAAACAAATTATTTACAGTGACATAGCAAAATATAGAAAGCCAGAAACATGTAAAACACAAAAGTATTTAGGATGAATAAAAGGTTTTAAAATTATAAATGAATTTTTTATTACCCTGTGCTGATAAACTTTAAAATCTGGATGAAATGGACGATTTTCTAGAAAAAGACATCAAAAGTATCTCAATAAATCCAAATATAAAATCATTAAAACCTTTTATAAAATTATGGGAGAATTTTTTTAAATGACATCAAATCCAGGTGTTTTATAGATTGTTTTAACATTTCAAGGAAGATATATTTAAAGCTATTTAAACTGTCCCAGAATGTTGAAAGGGCATTCTAATGTATTTTCTAGAGTTAGCATGAACCCAATACCAAAAAATTGACAAGGAAAGTAGAATAAAATAGTTTCAAAAGTCTTAAAGAATTATAAACAGCCCTGGCCAGGTAGCTCAGTTGTTAGAGTGCCATCCCCATACACCAAGGTTGTGGGTTCGATCCCTGGTCAGGGCATATGAAAAGAACCAACCAATGAATGCATAAGTAAGTGGAACAACAAATCATATCTCTCTCTCTCTCTCTCTCTCTCTCGCTCTCGTTCTCGCTCTCGCTCTCTCCCTCCTTCCCTCCCTTCCTCTCAAAAATCAATAAAAATAAAAAAGAATTATGAACAAATCAACATCAACTATATTTTACAGAAACACTAATCCATGACCAAGTAGTGTAGCATGCATTCTAGAAATATAGTTGACCTCAAACAACACAGTTTTATTGTCAATAAATATATGTATTTTCTCTTATGATTTTCTTAACATTTTCTTTTCTCTAGCTTACTTTATTGTAAGACTACAGCATATATTAAATGCAGCATAGAAAATATGTGTTCATCAACTGTTTATGTTATCAATAAGGCTTCCCATCAACAGTAGGCTATTAGTAGTTAAGTTTTGGGGGAGTCAGAATTTATATGCAGATTATTAGCTGTGGGGGTGGGGTGGTTTGGCACCCTTGGCCCCCACATACTTCAAGGATCAGTTGTACAAGGTTGGTATCCTGTTTTGTTTTAATATATTTTATTGATTTTTTACAGAGAGGAAGGGAGAGGGATAGAGAGTTAGAAACATCGATGAGAGAGAAACATCGATCAGCTGCCTCCTGCACACCCCCCACTGGGGATGTGCCCACAAACAAGGTACATGCCCTTGACCGGAATCAAACCTGGGACCCTTGAGTCTGCAGGCTGACGCTCTATCCACTGAGCCAAACTGGTTAGGGCCTATTTTGTTTTAAGTATTTTATTATATTTGTAGAGCAACAAAGGAGGAAAATCATACACTCATTTTAATAAATTCCTAAAAATATAATTCAACTTGCAGTCCTGATGAAACTTAGTACAGTATGTTCACAGGGGTGGGGAAACTTTTTTCTGCCAAGGGCCACTTGGATATTTATAACATCACTAGAGGCCCGGTGCATGAAAATTCATGCACCAAAGGGGGCGTCCCTCAGCCCGGCCTGCCCCCTCTCAGAGTCCAGGACACCTCAGGGGCGGGAGGTGACCCGGCGATCAGGGGAAGGCGACGCCCCCATCACACCTCTGCTGCTGCCACTGCTGGCAGCGCAAGCCTCGGCCAGCCCTGGTTACCTGAACCTCGGGCAGCCCTGGGCAGCTGGGGGGCTGAGGAGCCTGGGGGACTCCAAAGGCAGGCACGCAGAGTGGCCGGGCCCACCTGGGGGTGGGCCCAGACTTGCTGTGCACCTGTCGCTTCGGTGGGGCTGAGGGGACTGGGCACTGCCATCTTGTGACTGTGGGCGCTGCCATCTTTGAGGGCAGGGCAGATAATTAGCATATTCCCTCCTTATTGGCTGTGGGCACCAGAATCTTTGAGGACGGACAGTCAATTAGCATATTCCCTCCTTATTGGCGGTGGGCGCCGCCATCTTTGAAGGCAGGGCAGTCAATTAGCATATTCCCTCCTTATTGGCTGTGGGTGCCACCGTCTTTGTGATGGCACGAAGGTCTATTAGCACATTCCCTCTTTATTAGATAGGATTCTCAGGCCATACAAAATTATCAACTTAAGGTTGCGTTGGTGGTATAGTGGTGAGCATAGCTGCCTTCCAAAATTATCAACTTAAAATTAGCCTGCTATATTTGGTCAACCATTTAATTAACTCCCCCCTAATGCCTTGGCCAAACCAGACCAAATGATTTTGAAGACCTTACTATGGCCCATGGGCCAGACGTTCCCCACTCCTGGTCTAAAGGAATATAACATTAACCACAAATTTACTATGAAATACTAAAGACATACCTCTTAAAGTTAGGAATAAGATTAGGGAGTCCAATAACCACTCTTATTTAATACATTCTGAGTTATTTAAAAGAACATAACTTTGGGAAAGGAGAAAAACAAAGGTTATTTGCAGATGACATGATTACCTGGAAAACTAGGATTCTTACAAAACTTCAGCAAGATGTTTAATTGTAACATGAACATATAAAAAGCAAAGCTTTTAAGTATTAGAAATGAATATTTCACTTAAAATATGAATAAACTTAATTTATATAATAACATTCTTCTTGAAATTAATAAAATGTTTAAGTTTGTGTCTTAAAGTTGGCAGTGAATTTCAGATTTACATAACAATTTGCATCCAGTAATTTTTATGGTAACACAACATTAGTATGGCCAAATGTTAACTTGTTACACTTTTGTGTTAAATTAATATTTATAACATGCAGTTTTTCTGAACGAGCATAAAATTTTTTTCTTAGAATTACTTTGTTAAAAACAAACAAATAATACCATAGCCTCGTTCTGAAAAGTTATGAACATTGAGGGAAGGGGGAAGCTTCAGTTTAGTTTATTCTTTATATGTCTTGAGTCATCATGTTTCTGGTCCTTGAATGCCAAGTTCTTGAGTCTCAATGTCATAGAAATGAGCACTGAACTCAGTACAAGATCAAGCAGATAGAGTTTATTTAAAATAGCTTGTGCACAAGGGAGTCCACCTGAAAGAAGAAGTTGAGCTTCCCAAGGGGTTCTTGTGGATAACTTATATAGGGGCCTTGGTGTGGGTGTAGGGCAAGCATGCCAAACTCATGGCCCATGGGCTGCATGTGGTCCACAATGAATATTTTTGTGGCCCAGCCAATATACTGGTAACGATATATAAGAAACATTTTCGGATCTGGAAAGATGGCAACCGGCGGGAAGGTAGGAGGGGAGAGTGTGTGAGAGAGTGAGGGAGCTATAGAGGAGTGTGTGGACGTGTGTGGGTGTGGGTGTGTGAGTGAAATAGGGACAGTTAGATCCTGCAGGTCTTTCAAGTGGCTGCCAATCCAGGTAGTCATAGACGGCAAAACCCTGCTGCCACTGCGAACACTCCGGGAGGACACCAGAGGCTCAGAGAACACGCCATCTTGAAGAACAGAACGGCTTGAGACTAGGATCCTAGCCTCGCCACCACCCAGTCTGGTCTCCGTAGCAAACCAGAACCCTATAGCCACTCTGGTAGAAGACCTATGACCACAGC